TAAGGTACTGGAACAAGGGGATTCGCTTTATATATGGGCCAAGTTGAAGCTCATTCAAGAGGGACACTTCGTATCCGATAACCTCACCGTAGAAGAGATTCCACCTCAGATACACACAGACAGACACACGTACAACATTCAGAAGGGAAACATCGGCGTAGGGTTTCTGAGGGCTGAAGAACACAGCCCTCACGGACAGCAGTGGTGGTTACCCCTTGCCACACGTCTTGAGTGTCTGGCTGAAGAAGTCAGCTGTGCCTTACTCATAGTTGCCCCCGAGTGTTTTGCCGTCTTCCGTGATGGAAGAGGGAGGTACGGTTTCTTCGACTCACACTCAAGAGACTCCTTAGGTTTGCCTCTCTATGGTGGAACTGCAGTGAAGCTGACTTTCAGTAACCTGGGTCAGCTGGTCCGGCACCTGGACACGCTTTTTAGAGACCGTGGTGCTACGACCCAGTACGAATTTGTGCCTGTTTCATTTGAGCCAGTCACAAATAAAAGCAATGAGCCACCGACAGCCTCAGCTAGTGTTCCTCCTCAGAACATTGATGTTCCCGCGCAGCCCGCTGAGAACACTGCTAAACAGGTCTCTGCTGAGCACGCACACACCAGCACCGTCCGTCACACAGCACACATAGGTCACACTTTGAAGACACCGAGTTTAGCAAAGGTAAGTAAAGAACGCCGTCGCAAAACAGCTCGTCGCATTAGAAACGAATCGGTACCTGAAACAGTGTCTGCTGAGTTACAAAGGACAAAAAACTTTCGTGAAAAGCAGCAGTATGCCAGCAGTACAGAGCATAGGGCCAGAAAACTGCAGACACATAGACATAGATATAGAACTGATGCATTTTACCGACAGAAAAGACTTACATTATCCAAACGTCATTATGACAGCACACAGGATGAAGTTAGAGCATACAAAGTTAGGACATACCAAAGTGATGCTGTTATTAAGAAACAAAAGAAACAGTATCGCGTGGTAAAATACAAAACTGATCTTTCATATCAGCATAGACAAAAACAGTACATAGTCAATAGGTACAACACAGAGAGGGATTTTAAGGA